TCTATCTATCTATCTATCTATCTATCTATCTATCTATCTATCTATCTATCTCTATATATATAATAATTTTATATATATATAAACATTATATATATCTATAAATATATAAAATCTGAGTGGATGATGCTTGTAGTGGGGTACTGGGTTCTTCAGAGTACAACTGAGGCACCAGTGGCTGTGGCTGATGGTGGTAAACTCGAGCGGATGGCCAGCGTGGAGCTGCCTGCTCTTTCTTGGCTCCAATGCTCTCAACCATGGGGCATCCCCAGGGGAATTGTCTTCACCCTGGGGTCAAACTGAAACGAACTATGCCTTTCTGTAATAGCTGGTTTTCATGCCATGTGACTTAGATTCTCACAGAGGCCTTTTAGGATTAGTAGCTGCAATTCAAGGCTGCAAGAACCGGGAATTAGTTCTCATTTATTCCCTTTATTCTCAGCAATCAATATCAGGTTAGGAGTTGATCTCCAGGGATGCTTAATACCAGGGGCTAACAATTTAGGGGTCAGCCTCCCAAGTGCCTGCACAATGCCAGACTCGATGTGAGGGCATCTGAGTCTCAGGAAGAGCCCCTGGCTTCAGACACGATTACCCTTCTACACATGGGCAACAATGAAAAGCAAACAGATTACAGAACTACCCAAATCCTTGTTGTAGTCAGAGGCAGAAAGGGATTTGAACTATGTAACTTTGATTTCAAAGTTCATACAATGAAAACACTTTTACTAAGTAGAGCAGTAATTATATGTGAGTTTTTCACGCATCTAAGGTCTTAAAATGGAATTGTGTCTCTTGTATTACACACACACACACACACACGTATCAGATGCATTCTTAGTCAAAGTTCTTCAGTCTTTTCTCAACTATTTAAGAAAGATAAGTTCTGCAATAGCATAGGAGATTAACTGATGGTAGAAAAACACACAGATATTGTAGGAAGTGGGATGGAATTATAAAATTTATAGTTTATAAAAAAGACCAGCCAAGAAGGGGACTCAGAGCAAAAGCCCATGCAACTTTGTGTTTGACAGGAAGCAGGCAGAATGAGGCTGTGCCGCAAAACACCTGCTCCAATGCTATCATTTAACATCTGATTTCCTGGGAAACCACTGGGAGAAATCATGCCTGGGACCCTCTAAAAGCAAGGGTTGACCAGATGGCTCCATAGGAAAAGGCACATACTGTCAAGCCTTATGGCCTGAGTTCCAGCCACAGGACCCACACAGTAGAAGGAGAGAACTAACTAACTAATAAGTTGTTCTCCTACCTACACACACATGCCGTGGCTCACTCCTTGGCTTGTGCTTAGCTAGCTTTCTTATGAGGCTCAGGACCACTTGCCTAGGGATGGTGCTGCCCACAGTTGGTTGAGCCCTCCTGTATTAGTTAAAAAATCAAGGCAGTCCTCCAAAGACCCCACAGGTCAATCTGATGCGGGCACTTTCTTAACAGAGGGTCCCCTCTCAGACAGCTCTAGGCTGTGCCACGTTGACTACTGAAGCTAACTGGGATAGTCCTAACCTCTAATATTCACATTTTCATGTTGGAATAATTCTTATCAAGTATCATTGACCAGCCAACTCTGAATATAACTTTAAATGAGTCACTTGCTTAGAGGTTCTGCAGTTAATGGTTTGAGAAAGCAAATTGATGGAGTGGGAAAGGCCTCAACTCTCCCCTCAGTGTTGCTAGGACAGGACTCCAAGGCCTGTGGGTGACTCACCAGGGTGAGGTAATCCAGGTCTTCCCTCTGAGTCTATTCCTGGTCTCTCAGACACCGGCTACTGTGTCCCAGGGACAGAGTGTGACATGGATGTGCTCTGTTGTTATGTTTTCAATGCTAGAGAAAAACTGTTTGCCAGGCCCGACCCAGAGCCATCAAAGCTGAAGTCCCTTTCCAAGAGGAGTCAGAACGAAGCTGCCGTGGTGGCTCAACTTTGCGGTCTGTTTAACTGGGTTAGAGGTCAGTTTCTGAGGCCATTTACTAAGGGGACGGACCACCCCAATATGAGCGGTGCCATCCTGTAGGCCAGAGGCAGAGGGGGTGGATGAGGAGGAAGAGGAACACTGGCTAACACAAACTCCCCTACCCTCCTTCCTGGACATCATTTGTTGAGCAACTTTGCCCCTCCACACCCTGTCAGAATGACGTTGTGCCTCAGCCCAGCTCCAGCGGCCACGGAACAGGCTGAGCATATGCTGAAACTCCTACAACTATGGGCCAAGTCAAACATTTCCTCATTGTAAATTGTTTCTCTTAGGTGCCCGTCATCATGTCAGAAACCACACACAGCTGCTTCTGGGAAGTGTGTGTTTTCTCTAGGGATAGGAGGAATGGGGGACTTCTTTAATCTCAGAGGAGAGTTCTCAGCTGGGCACCTGCGTGGATTGACTCATCAGATCCAGTTTCAGTGTGGGTGTTCTGAGGAACTGGAAGATAATTTCTGCAAAAGTGTGGAGCCTGCTGGGGAGAAATGGGCATTCAGCAAGGGTTTACTCTGCCTGAGCAGGGCTAGGGAAGGAAGAGACTCTAGCTTTATGCCATGTTCGGAGGTAGGTGGACAGAAATATTGCTGTCAGCAAACTATTCCAGGTCACAGGTCATCTTTAAAGGGAAACCAAGGCAGGAGCTCAAGCAGCTACTCACACACAGAACATCTACAGTCAAGAACAAGAGTATAAACACATCCCTGACATCTGCTCACCAGCTTTCTTCACTCTCATACAGTTCAGGAGCCCCTGCCTAGGGAATGGTGCTGCCCACCATGGGCTGAGTCTTCCCACATCAATGAACTGCTAAGACCCATCTGGTGTGGGACCATGGTCTGTATTCTGTCAATTATATTTTAAATAAATGCTAATTGGCCTGTAGCCAGGCAGGAGGTATAGGTGGGACAACCAGACAGGAAGTAGAGGCGGGTCAATGAGAACAGGAGAATTCTGGGAAGAAGAAAGTTCTTTCGCCAGTCCTTGCCCAGCCACAGAAGAAGCAAGATGTGACTGCCCTGCCAGATAAGGTACTGAGCCATGTGGTTGACATATACTAGAATAATAGGCTAATGGGCTATATAAGTTATAAGAGTTAATAAGAAGCCTGAGCTAATGGGCCAATCAGTCTATAACTAATGTGGACCTCTGTGTAATTTCTTTGGGATTTAACGACTGTGGAAACCAGGCAGGACAGAAACTCCCAAAAAAACCCTCCCCAGACATGCCATAGACTACTCAAGTGAAGCACCTTCCTCAGATGATTCTATGTGGTAGTGGTACATGGGCATTTAATACTAACCAGCACACAAGGTATGAAAGGGTGTGTGTGTGTGGCATGTGAACATTCCCACCTGTACATGAAGGGATGAATGCCTCCAGTCTGACCCTGTGGCAACTCACCTCCGACAACTGACACCCTCTTTTGTTGCTTCTCTTTTACCTGCTGCCTCCTCTCCTCGATCTAATGTCCTCTCCAGAACCTTACTTTCCTCCCAGGGAAATCCGCCCTGACTTTCTTTCTCTCTGCAGACCTGTGAGGACAGAGGTCCAGGGTGTAGGTGGGATTACTCCAGAGGACATTTTAGCATTTGGAAGCCAAGGAGATGCTAAGGGATCTTTTTGATTTTGCCAAATTATTTCTTGAAGGTGAATTCTTAGTGGTGACATTTTTGGTAAAAGGGTGCGAATAATAGGATTTACAAATGAATATATGGGTCAACTTCCGGGCAGCTCCTTCCTTGGGAGATGTTAGCATTGGACATGTCCTGTCTTTCTTTCAGAGTATGTAAATCATCATTGTCAGATGTCCTCATTTGCATGCCTGTGATGTTTACTGCAAATTCATATTTCTCCGCTGTGTTTGTTACTAATTGTATTTCCCTTATGGGACCGATCCTGTTTTTTTTTTTTTAACCCATTTGTCTTTTATGATCTTAATATTTATTTTACAAATTTGAATTATCTATTTATGATAGATCTTGATGATGTTTGATAGAAATATTTTCTCTCTTTAGAAAAGTCTTTAGCAATGCTAATTTTGGCAGTGCACCATTTCAATTACTTCAAAGCACCCTGAAGGCTGATAAACATTTTTTTTTCAATTTTGTGTAAGTTCCCTGATAATTGTTTTTTTAAAATATAAATCTTTTATCAATCAAGTCTTATTTTGGTGAGTGCTTTGTTTCCCATAACATTTTCTATTATAAAATCAGTAAGTGTTTATCACTGAAACCAGGAAAAGTAAAGAACAGAAAGAAAACATAAGAGGGTCAGTAATTTTACATCTAAGATGAACACTTAGGTGATGCAGATACATCAAAATAAATTTTTATATATTAAATATATGTGAAATATATCCCCAAATACAACTGCACTGGTGGATTCTGGGGAAGGGAGAGTTAATTTTCTCTAAAAGTAATAGGTCAGTCATGCTCTAGTGGATGGCCCCACACCCACGAGAATATGGGCAGCACAAACTGGATTCAGTGAATTATTTAAAAACTATGGGTTATTAAATTCTTTTAGGAGGACATGAAGGTGGAAGGGATGCTTGGAGGGTGGGGGGCTTTATCTAGGAGGAGTTCAGGGGAGGACCGGGGTGAATATGATCAAAATGCATTGTATACATGTATAACATTCTCAAAGAATTGATACAAATATTATGTTGGCGATTTCATGCAGGTTTATAAGTTGAGCAGATTCCTTCTGTATTCCCTGCCCTCCTTTACTCAGCCCCCATTATTAGACCCGTTGCTTCCCCAGACACTTTCATCCTATTTTTGTGTAGCAACTTTCATTTTCAATATTCAAGAGAATACTGTCTTTTAAACTTATTTAAAGTATCAGAAATATTCAGAAGCAGCAACACTTCATAAAAAATATTTCTAGCTAGAGAAATACAGCTGTAAAACAGTGTATACACCTGTTAGCATCCTGCATACTGAAAACTTATTAACAAGGTTCATTGCTTTACAGTTTTTTAAAAGAATATTTTATGCATATAGGTATTTTATCCATGACTGTTTGTGCACCATCTGCATGCATGGTGCTTGTGGAGGCCAGAAGAAGGTGTCAGGTCCTCTAGAATTGAGTTACAGATGGTTGTGAGTCACCATGTGGGTGCTGGAAACTGAACCTGGCTCCTATGGAAAGGCAGACATCACCTAGCTCTAGCATAAATGTTTCCAAAAATATTGTTTGAATAGCTGTAGAATATTGTATTCCATAGAAGTACCATAATTGACTCTATTTACCTATAGACTATTGTATTCCATAGATGTACCATAATTGACTCTATTTACCTACTGTTTTCTTTAGATTTAATGCATCAAGATAACACTGCTGTGAACAAAGTCGTGATACACACAACTGATGGCTTTATTTTTATTACTACTGAGGCAAAGTTTTCACACCCATGTATCTATATTTATTATATTTTTTCATATTAAATCAATGCCCACTATCCCTTAGGCCTCCTTCTCTCTCTCCTTTTTCTGGAAAACCATTTCACCATATTTTATTTATTTGTTTGTTTGTTTGTTTTTTGAGACAGGGTTTCTCTGTAGCTTTGCAGCCTGTCGTAGAATAGCTCTGTAGACCAGGCTGGCCTCGAACTCACAGAGATCTGCTTGCCTCTGCCTCCTGAGAGCTGGGACTAAAGGTGTGTGCAACCACCGCCTGGCTCTTTCTTCATATAAACCGCAGGCTGGGAGTATAAGAATGTAACATTGGAACCAAGTGTTGCTCTGGCTTCAATAGCTGCAGCAGCCCATCCTCTCTGACAGACACTGACAGGCTTCTTCCGAGAGACCATGAATCTCTAGCTAACAGACTTCCAAGTGCCAGTATCTTTCACCTGGGGAAGTGAGTTTACTTTAAAGGGGGTGCTGGAGGCCACACATCCTGCTTCCAACCCCTCCCCTGACTTCTGCTGAGAATCAGAGAGCCTGGCTGCAGGCTTGTGATGTAAAATCTTCTCATCCTTGGGAAGGTGTAAGAGACTCCCACTTGAGTCATGGGCGCCCCAATTTCTACTCTTTACAGCCCCTGCCATGCTGCTGTCTGCTCATGATGTTAAGAACTTTTCCAACAAAGTCTTTACTCCCCAGGAAACCAACAATCCGTCTCACTGTCCCTTGAATCCACTCCTCAGACCTTTTACATGTAAACTGTCAAATTGATTAAGTTCACTTCAAGTTCCCATCAACAGCGAATGGCCACATCCTCCCTCTCTTCCCCACACTACACTCTTATTAACATCAGCTAAATTAATAGGCCAAAATGGCTTATATATACTTTACTTTGTGTTTTCCCCACAAGTGGACCAAAATTGAGTTTGTTGAAAATTGTACTTACTACATCCCTTACAAAGTTTTAAAATTTGGGGTGCTTTAAAAGAATTTAATGACTTCAAACATATCTTTAAGGATAGTGAATGTTCATGAAAACAACCTGCCTCTCAGCTCATAGACTCTTAATATCCCTCCAATTGCCCCTTAGTTTTGTAAGTAGAATACATCTCTATCCTGTATTTCTTCCCAAACCTAGTCTTGTTTTTCCTTCCTCATAGCTACCTCCATTCTAAGTGTGACTTCTTTGATTCTCATCCATGTTTGTCTATGCTCCAAACATGTAACAGTCATGATGGCATTTACCATTATTTTGGATGCCTTCAAACTTTCCTATTCCTCGTGTGTTTGGCGTGAAATGTCTCTCACAAGCCCATTTGTTTATATTTTTTTTTCTCCCCAATTGTTGGTGCTGTTTTAGGAGTTTGGAGAGAGGTCCTTGAGGGTCATAGCCCTGCCTACTTCCTGCCCAAGT